TGCTGGCGAAACGTTAGGAAACAAAACTTCCAGAACACGGCCATATAGCCCGGAAGACCCATACCAGCCTATGTAGGCAATGCTTGATAAAATGTTGGATACCAGAGACTTTGCTAGGTAAACATTCCAGAGGTCAAAAGGCAGAACTCCAGTGCTCTTCACCAAGTAAAAGCTAAACTAAACTAAGTAATGCAAAAACTAATTTGTGCAAGTGTGCTTATGTGCATAATTTATACAGATTTCTGCTTTATTCCTCTCAGATAACATCATAATAGCAGTTTGATTTGACTTCAAATTAAATAGCACTCTGACTTTAGCTAGAAACCACTGAGGTCCCAAAGGAGGCTGTAGACCTCGCAGATTCTTCAGGTTCATGGTAGTGATGGAACTGCCTGGTGTCAACTTTTCACACTTATGCTAACAGTGTCCCCTCTCATGATGGCCTTTTCTTTCACCTTAGTCCTCACATCAGCTTTTGTATCTAGGCTATTATGAGCCAACTTGGCATCTCGCTAAACAATGGCGCAGCTGAATCACCCACTTCACTTTTGGGCCACCTGCAAACTGATCATTTATTCAAAGATAGTCAAAAAGATATCAATATTGGCCCCAAGTCTTCATGTGTTTTCCAGAATCCAGCCGGGAATCTAGCATGAAAAATATTCAGCTATTTCAAATAACTCCTGAGGGGTAATATTGACATCAAGATCATAGCACTGAGGATGTTACTTGGGTGGGTGATGAAACATCTGCAACTGAAAAACCAAGTTAAGAGAATCCCAACAATGCAACACATCAACCCTGAGTTATGTATATTCTCTACCGTTGCCTTTAGATCCTGTAGATACTGAATTGCCCAATTTTGGGTTAACTTCTCTTTGGGTATAGTCCAGGTACGTTTGAACTATCCATATCATACATGTAGATGTGGAAAGTAAAGGCCAAAGTGATCCCAGTGGTGGTAGGAACACCCGGAGCTATGACTCCCAAGCTGGGACCGTGGCTCCAACAGATCCCAGGAACATCACAGCTCTCTATCCAGAAGAGTGCAGTGCTAGGAACAGCTAAGATACTGTGCAAAACCCTCAAACCCCCAGGCCTCTGGTAGAGGACCCGAGATTGAGGAAGACAGATACCACCCATAGGGGCGAGAGGGGATTTTTAAAAAATATATGAAGGAAAATGTCCACAACCACATTTGAAAATATGTATGTATAAACAAGATTCCAATGTAGATATAGATGGACAGTCTGATGAAAGCTGGGATCTAAATCTAAAATAAATAGAAATTGACCCCCCCCAGAAGAGTTCCCCTTTCCCTGATAGTATCTCCACTGATAATTCAAGCTCCTCTTTCTTTCCTACTGTTCAGCACAAACCTTGCAATTCCCTCCCTCCCCATTAACCGCAACTCTATTGCTGCCTCCAGAATGTGGGCACCTGCCTGTCACGCTTGCACAAATCAAACCCACAATCTACTCCTTGATCTCTCGGAAATTAACCTTCTTAGTTCCATGAAAATCAGAACTGCAAACCACCCCTCTGACAGGAAGAACTAGTAGGAAAAGGAAGTGGGGGGTAGGATTGCAGGTGGCATGAGTGAGATAACCGTTTTCCATGCTACTGTCCACAGTCGAAGATTTGTTCCCTGTTTGGCACCAGATCAAACTATTGCTGCTGCTCCTATGAGATGACTTTGGAAACGCTGTCCCGGTCTTGATCGATTTGGGGGTCTGTTATAGATGTGACAGTGGGGGTTGTCAGTATAGTATG